AGCCAATCGATCCAAACGTCGTGACAGAGATCATCACCAAGTCTCCTTTCATTCCCATACCCGGGGTCTTGAACTTTAGAGACTTGGGGGGTCTACCAGTCGTGGATTCCAACTCTGTACGTACTTATTAAGTGGGAGATGACGGATTGATAACTAACACGACGACTAAGAATGACGTGGTTTCTAATCTCGACTCTGGACTTTGGGTTCGTGAGGGTCGTCTATTCCGATCTTCACAGTTGAACGCAATCACACCCGAAGGCAAGGCGAAGCTGTTTGAGCTGGATATCGGCGCGGTATTCGACTTTAGGGATGACAGGGAAATTAGACGAGAGGCTCGCCTTCCGGCTGATGCGGACCCCGTCCTCGGGTTACCAGAGCTAAAGCGCCCCAAGCCAGGTGAAATCAATGTCTCGGACGATCTCGCTGCATTCGGTCAAGGACAATATGGCGAGATCCCTGTCATTCGGAACCCGTTGAAAGACATTACCGAGTATACGCCACAAGAGACAATGAAACTCATAACGAGGATGGGACGTGGTGATGATGGAATGGTTGAACTTTATATCGATTTCCTCAATGATGGCGGAAAGAGCTTTGGAAATATCATGCGGTTCCTCCTAAAACAAGCAAAAAGGGATACATCTCAAAGTACCCCCGAAGAACAAGACACAAACGCATGGCACGGGACGGCTTGTCTTGTTCACTGTCATAGTAGGTCATCCTTGTCCTTTATGGATAATGGTCTCACAGGTCCCCTTAGTTGGAAAGGATCGTACTGGTATCTTTGCAGCTCTCCTCCTTAATGTAGGCAATTCAACTCCTCTACGTATTCTCTATTCTGATACGACATGCTATAGCTTTTAGGAGTCCCGGATTCTGTGATTGCTCACGATTATGCTTTGACGCGTATCGGCCTTGAGCCCATGCGCAGCATTCTCGAAAACCAGTTCAAAGACCTCAAAGCAGTGAATCAAGAAGCAGCAGCTACTTTTGGATCAAGCAGGTAAGATTCTTGTCCCACCCCCTGTACCTAGTATTGACGATAGCTTGTAGGACCGTCGTTATGATGAGGTTCTTGGAGGCTCTCAAGACCAAGTATGGTGGTGCACGAGGATATTTTAAAGAGTATTCTGGTCTTACGGACGACGAGTTGGATATTATCAGAAATTCGCTTGTCGTGAGCAAGAAAGATTAAATGTAACAAGAGTTTTTGGAGCTCTTCATTTACAAGTGAATAAAGACATGCACTACCATTGTCCTTTGGCTTGTCTACGGAAGCGCGGAGTAGTCCAAAGAGTAGTTAGCTAGCTCCTTCATCAACGACAAGGTTAAAGAGTACTGAATGGAGCGATTTGGATGGTCGCATGCACTTTTCGTTAAGAAATTAGTCGATTGGTATGGTCACACGACACGTTTGGTTTCGAAGCCTTCGAATGACGCTAACGTAGTGGACGCCAACACGGAAGCCACTTCCTTGCTACTTGGCAATCATTATGGATCTACAACAAACGTAGACGCAGGGAGAATCGATTGTTCAGCTCTGGGGAGGTTTCAAACTGTCTTGAGCCCAAGCCTGGTTGCGTTTCCACCCTCTGTTCATTCGAACGAGTCATCGGCAAATCCACGGCACTAAAATTGAGGATCTAAGCTGTGCATACAGTCAATATTGGAGAAGATGGTCGGCCTCAGTAAGCTGCCTGGCCGGAGACTACGCAATTGACCCCTAAAAAACCCATAAAAAGCCTGTTCTCAAACACGTGAAACCAAGTCATCAGAACCAAATCCCCATTTGGAGCTCTTCTTTTCTCTCAAATTATCGAACGTACTCGACAGTCATGGCTGACATTTCCGCCCTGCTTGACCAGTCCCTCTTTGAGCCCATTGACCCCGCTATCACGCAAGAGGTCCTCAACAAGTCTCCTTTTGTCCCTATACCCGGTGTCGCCAACTTTAGAGACTTGGGTGGCCTACCCATCGTCGACCCAAACACGGTGAGCATTCCTTCTCTTCGCAATACCAAATCAAGATGACTCACCAAAGTAACTGACATGTCTATCAGAATGACGTCACTTCTGGACTCACAGTCCGTACCGGTCGTCTCTTCCGGTCTGCGCAGTTCAATTCAATCACGCCTGAGGGCAAGACGAAACTATTCGAGCTTGATGTCGGAGCAATTTTCGATTTCAGGACAACGATGGAAATTCGACGCGAGGCGCGTCTGCCCCAAGATGCGGACGTGAAGAGTGGCGTGCCCGAGTTCAAACGGCCAAAGTCGTCACACGATAGTAGCCATGCAGGAGACGTTTCTCTAGACGAGATTGAAGAAATTTGCGTCTATCATAATCCTCTGAAAGATATTACTCAGCATGCGCCTCAAGCATTGATGAAGCTTTTGACGCAAATGAGCGCCGGGGATGTGGGGATGATAGGATCGTATGAAGACATACTTGCAGAAGGAGGGAAGAGTTTTGGGAATATTATGAGATTCCTCTTGGAACAGGCGGAGAAAGAAGTGTCTGAAGGCGTCGTGGAAGTGAAAGATTCCAAGGTTTGGGGTGGTAGGGCCTGTGTCTGGAATTGTCATAGTAGGTGGCCACCGCTCACTTCTCACAGTATATATGTTGACAAAAGTAATCACTATAGTTGGAAAGGATCGTACGGGCGTCTTTTCAGCTCTCCTTCTCAGCGTAAGCGGTTCACACATCTACTCACCTCATCGCTCACCAAATACAGCTTTTGGGTGTTCCAGACACGTTGATCGCTCATGACTATGCACTGACACGAATTGGTCTTGAGCCTCTTCGTGAGGCGCTTGAAACCCAGTTCAAGGACTTGAAGGCAGCTAACCAAGCGGCTGCACTTACGCTTGGATCCAGCAAGTGAGTGAGACGTCCAACCATGGCACATGATCAAGAAAAGGGACCATTGTTTGAGAAATATATTGACCACCTTCCGCAGGGCTTCCACCATGATGACGCTCCTCGAATTACTCAGGACCAAGTACGGCGGAGCTCGAGGCTACTTCAAGGAATATTCCGAGTTGACGGACGAAGAGTTAGATACGATCAGGAGGTCACTCATCGTGAACAGTCAAGAACAAGTGTGATAAATTTGGTCGTCCCTAGAATTTCTCCGTAAAGAACCGAATAGAACATACCAAATTTTTGACTCCGCCATTGAAATATAAACTGTCCCAAATGAGATGCCAAAAGTCATGAGAGCCTTTAGTTCGAAAACCCCCACCTTCAATGGGAACAGGTCTCCCCATCAGTATACAACTTACCTCGTGTCTGATCTTCCGTCTCTGATCTTCATTAGAGTTTTGATGGAGTCTATAGTAGGCTCTGGACCCATCAGACCGCCGTCTGTTGGTGCCTGCCTCAGATAATAGTGACCACTTCGCGCGCTATTGGTGCTGCCACTCAATTCGACAATTCAGTTCCTTTTGCCTCCCCTCCTCAATCCCCTGCGAACATCCATCTGCATAACAGGTTCGTCACCGGCATAAAGTCTATTCCTGAAACTGATTGTGCAAGTCGTGGAGCGAATAAGGGCGACCGGTTACACCTTCAGGTATGCAGGCCGACATCCCAACTTTAACACGCACGCCTATCCTCGACGCGCTCGACCCAGAGGTGACAGCAACAGTACTCTCAGCACCTCCATTCATCTCTGTTCCTGGAGTCGTCAACTTTCGAGACTTAGGTGGCCTGCCGATAACACGAGGGACCAGTGAGGGCACGGGAGCAGCAGCGGGAATCTCCACCACCACCACTAATGGCAGTCCCAGCACTGGGGCCAACGAATTAGACGATAGGTGGGTGGTCGGGTCGGGTCGGTTGTTCCGATGTGCCCAGTTAAACTTGATCACGCCCGAGGGGAGGGAGCGGTTATTCGACCCTTTGGATGTGGGTGCCATCTTTGACTTGAGGACGATGGCAGAAGTGAGGAGGTATGCGGGTGTGCCTGCTGACAGCCAGGATCCGACGGCTGGGCTAATGCAGTTTAACCGCGCACGGCAACCAGGGTCTAGTGGAGGAGGTGAAGATGGTGGGAATGGTGAAGAGGAGATCAAGGTGTACCATGTCCCGCTGAGAGATGTTGCCCTCTCTTCACCACAAGCCACGTTGGAACGGTTGATGATATATGGAAAAGGGGAGGAAGGGTTCATGGAGATGTATGAGGAGATGCTGGTGCTAGGCGGGAAGAGTTTTGGACAGATCATGCGCTTCCTCTTGCAAACCGCCAAGGAGGAGTACGTTCAAGTCGAGGAGGGCCAATGGAAGGGAAAGGCGTGTCTATGGCATTGCTTTGGTAAGCTCTACGTGATATACGAGGACGAGTAGACTCACTCATTGCAGTGGGAAAGGATAGAACTGGTGTGTTTGCCGCCCTCTTGCTGAACCTGTTGGGTGTGTCGGACGAGGTCATCGCACACGACTATTCCTTGACACGAATCGGCTTGGAGCCATCCCGAGAGGCGATCAAGGAGCAGTTCAAGCAGATCATCATCGCCGACAGGCAAGCAGCTATCGCATTAGCTTCGAGCAAGTAGGTAGACCTTTTCTAACCATTCTCCGAGTACTGAGGACCACTACAGCGCGAGCCTCATGCTGAGATTCCTTGGCTTGCTAAAGACCAAGTATGGAGGGGCGAGGGCGTATTTCAAAGAGTATTCTGGCTTGACGGACGACGAACTGGACCTCATCAAACGCTCCTTGATAGTGAAAAAGTCATCCTAGTCGTCTGTTCGGTCGAGTTGCATTTTTAGACTAGTACAAGCTTCACGTGCAGAATCAAACTCCGCATCTTGCTCTTGACTACCTCAGGCTGACAACTTCCGACGTCATGTCGAGATCAAATTTTGACCCACATGTGTAAAAACTAACAGGGCTCAGGATCCTGACGTGCGTCGTGTAGGGTTTCCAAGTTCTGACTTGTCTGGCGCATGGCAGGATGTCGGGAAAGCTTATCTAGGACCACGACTACGTCTCATTATTTTGATTTCTTTACCGTTGGTTTTGATTTCGGAGAAGGTGGCAGGAGTGGCGTCCAACCGTTCGTCAGACATTTGCAGCAAGTTCTAGATCAGAACACGAAAGTTTGGGTTTTTCGGGCTTGACGACTGACCACGCTTGAGCCCAGAACGTGACGCTTGGTATACGGAACCGAGGAGAGCAGCAATACACTAGTGGGAAGAACACGCTGCAACTCGACCCTGTGGATTTGTCATCGTTCACGACAAAAAGTCAGCAAGAGTGTGTATACATCGGCACGGGTTGCTACTCCTTGCAGCGCCGATCAAGACCTGGTGGCTCGCCATGCCCTATTCGGGACGCCCACTGAGGGTCACATTGAGGCCCAGAACAGACCTGGGAGCTGAACCGAACATACGTGATCGAGCCTGATTGATTTGATGGCAGTGAACAGCGGGCAACCGAACAAGTGCTCAATTCGGTATGAGGGTGAAGTCAGAAGATGGATGGGCACGTATTCGCTGCGACACGGGACTATTCTTTATTCGATTCGGGACCCGAGCTAGCAGTCAGATCTGTCTTGGGTACAGACTCGTGTACACGCTAGACTGGGGTCTCCCTGTCAAAAAATCCTGTCGCGCCCAAAATGGCTCCCGCCTAGAAACCTGGCCTATCCTGCATTTAAAAGGTAGAAAGGAGTGGTCGGTATGCACGTCCAACTTTTTCTCCAGGGCTCTCCTCTACAGTCCGTCCTCGTACCTCATTAACCCAGACTATTCGGCTTACGAGCCCAGTCGCGAGCCACAACGTGTTTCTAAGGTTCGGATTAGATTACGATGCTTCGCCTACCCTCCCAGCTGTGAATTGACAACCACCACATATAGGGTCGTAAGCGCCCCTGGCAAAACCCAGGTCTCGTAATTGGTGCAGGCCTCTTCGCCGCCGCGGTATGCTCATGTACTTGGTTTCCCATGCCCTGCTCTGATTGCGGTGCGGTCGTGGACACCACAGTGACCTATTCTTATCCGGCGAAATCTCTCTCCATCTCAAAATAGGAAGACCCCTCCCTGCATTGGGTCTGAAACGGTCGGATCCGACCAACCCATATAACCCATACAATTGAACCGTTTGAGTCCTGGCCGTCCAACATGTCGCTCATCACGAGCTGATACTGAACAGGGATTTCCACTACCGCTCTTATCTTCATAACAAGGTGCCAAAGAAGAGCCAGGCAGACAGTACTGCTCCCACCACCCCCATTG